AAGAACTCCACACTTTGTCGGTTTGGCTGTATATTCAGAACACTTTGTGAAGGCTTGACTCTGTTGCCAGCATTTATACTGCAGAGCTTTATGTTGTGCTCATGGTTAATGAATATATATTAGGCAACAATATCAGGAAAGCAATTTTGTTTGTGGACTCCCAGAGTGCTACAATCTCTCTCTCTGTTCCCTCAATGATTCTAAGAATCGGCTTGTGCAGAGTTAAACCTGGCTTTCCAAATGGGATACAATATCAACCTGTGCTGGGTACCAAGCCATGTGGGAATTTCATGTTATGAAAAGGCAGATAGGCTAGCAGCCTCTGTTAAGGATGCTCTGGAAACACCCGTTCGGCTCCCTCAAGAAGATTTTAAACCAGTTTTTAAAAAAGCAATTTATTACGCCTGGCAGCTAGACTGGGACAAAGAAATAGATAATAAGCTACATGTCATCAAACCACGTTTGGAGGTACGGGAGAGTTTGCACCATAGAGACCATCGCCATGAAGTTTTAATGTGTTGTTTGAGAATTGGGCATTCTTGTGTGACCCATCGACATCTTCTTTGTGGTGAGGACACCCCATTCTGCGAGCATTGCGGTGGATTGCTAACTATATTGCACATTCTATGGCACTGCAAATTCTTTGATCAAGAACGTCAAACAAGTTTCCCCTCATTTTCCCGATATCTCCCATTTCATCCAGCCTTCTTGCTGGGAGATGAACCTTTAGTTCCTACTTTAGATATTTTTTTTTTAAACTGGCTACCTGCTTCAGTTATAGATTTTCTGCATAGTAATTCCTTTAATTTACTATAGATTATTTTAATTATTTCTTTGGTGCAGCATAGCCTATGTTGCTTTTTGCACCATTAAACACTTAATAATCAATAATAATCAACAATCGGGCCACTCTTTTTAAGATAGCATTGAAATTATGTCTGTCTGCACACCTGAATTCGTCTGTTTGGATACCAAGCAAAGCTTACAAGACACCCAAGTACTAGAGGCAGTATTGATCAGCTGAGGGCATGCACTTGCCCAAGCACTTGGTGTTAAGCCCCACATAACACTGCCTTGCTTCTTTATTTCACATTTATTAGTATGTTTGGTGCAGAGGCTTTCAATACCTGGATTCGCATAGCTTTAGTACAGAATGTCAAGAAAACAAACGAAAAATTCTCTTTCTTGCGTCACAAGAATGACCTATGTGTTGCCATATGCTCAGACTCGATCGAAAGGCTGAGCCAGTGGTTAGGATAAGATGGCGAATTTCCAAAATGTGCGGTTAAGTTAGCAAAAAGTTGGAAGTAAGAGACTGTTTTGCCTACGTGAAGGTGCCGTCGGGTAGCAGAAGCAGAGTGGGTGCATCTGTTTTTTTTTCTGGATCTCAGTTGGTGCCAGTGCCTATGATAGCATTGAATAGCATATGTGAACACAGAAACCTGTTGTTACTTGCTTGTGTTCATGTCTGCTTGCTATTGCTAGTGGCTCCATGTGAGAAGTGCGACGGTAACTATAGTCGGTGGCAGGTTTAGGGTTTATGGGGAGCTCTTTTCACCTATTTCCACTTTGTTAGAGCGAACACTGGAGAGGAGGCTACCTCTTCTTCAGCCCTCACTCTGCTAATGTGGAAAGATGTGAGGAACTTTCCCTGGCCTCTTAACCTGTCACCGACTATAGATGTTCTCCATTTGCTTCTGCTGCCCAACAGCAACCTCTTTTAGGCCACGTCAGCTCTTTGCTTCAAAGTTCTAAGGGTAAAAGCGCTAAGAAACAACAGACAAGTGAAAGAAACGAACAAGTTCGTTCATAGTTCGTTCATACCTCGCACCACTCTTGACTGGAACCACCTTCCAGCCTCTGCGGTATCGATTTCCGATGGTGTGGCGTTTAAAAACTGTATTGCCAATATTTATATTCCAGAATTTGACTAACCTATTGTTATTTTTCTTGTTCTGTTTCATGTGCATATCTTAGATTTACTTTATATTATGTAACCCACTCCCCTCTGTAATGCCCTCGGGCCCTGAGGGAAAAATAAATGAAATGAAATGAAACACAGAGCGCTACTTGCAACTTAAGTTTACTCACAGAAAAGCATGGGGTTCCTGTATTACTCTCAGCTCCTCAAAAATAGGGCAGATAGTGTGGAAAAGTGGGACGAAAGCAGCCACGCGTAGGTGTATGTCATAAAAAAAAACATAGGACCAGGTATGTGGAGTGCAGCGAAGGCGTGCTATGCAAGATTCATTTATCATGTGGCAAAGTATACATAGTCCAATCGGGTCGTCGTAGAAATGATAGGCCCAGAGATCATGCACTGTCAGTGAGATAGTCGCCCTCGGGAAATCTGGCTCTGCACTGTAGCAGTCGTGGATTTGACAACACCATTATCTTAGCCCAAAACCAAAACAAAATGACAAGGGAGATATCCGAAGCATTCTTCATAACGAAGTGCATTGAAGGCATGTGTGTCAGTGCTTTATTGATAGCCCTGTTTGGTGCTGAGGTGGCGTTTTTTTTTAAATCTTTTGTAAAGAAGATAGCAGATAGGTAAGCCTTGATTGGATGATGTCGCATTTCTATCGTACATGTCGTGTTTTCATAATGTATAGGGTGGTCCAAGTCACCAGGCTGGATCTAAAATGGACCGTAACAATCGACGCCTGCACGTAGCAATCTAAACTTTTCGTCAACAATGTAATTCACAGACTTCGATTTTTTTTTTTTTTTTTTGTCAAATCACAAAGCGTAGTTCTCTTTCTGTAAAAAATAAGGCCAAGAAACTTGCCAGTGTCTAGGCGGGCAGCGACGCAGACGGCAGGGGTCTAGTAGCAGGGTATGTTTGGTGTTGGTATTGATAGATGGCGCTACTTCCTCATTGCGACGGCTCGCAACCACCGCAGTTTATTAAAATGAACATAATCTTTTTGAAATGTAAGTTCGGCTAAAAATTAAATGCGAACAATAAAAGCAACACTTAAAGTAAAAAATGCATCTGCATAATGGCGGCGCTTTTGCTGCCAACGGATTTCGTCTGCGTGTCGTCTGTTTTCTTTCGCTGGTTGGCTGCACCTAGAGCACTATATAGCTCCTACGGAGCACAGTAGCGCAATCCTTTGATCCGCGTGTTTTGCCGACAACATGGCCGACAGAGCACCTCGGCGCAAGTCGCGTGGTACTGAGGGTTCCAAGAGGCGGCCCGCTCTATGGGAGAATACATGGAGATCGACACAACACATCAAAAAATAAACGCCGTGTTCCCACTTTTCGAAACTAGTCTATCGTGAAGCTGATAAAGCACTAAACACTTTATCAAAGTTTTAATTATGTTGGAAGCGTGTGAAAATTGCGAGAAGGCAATTTCCAAGGCAATGGCGTTTGAAGCAGACGATTTGTGTGCGCAGCGGAGAGGAACTTTTTGGGTTGGCCGGAGCGGGTCACGTGGACGCTGCGATGTCGCTGTGACGTCGCCGCGTCGTCTGCTGCATGATGCCGTTCAGGCAATTTTTTTTAAAAAAGTTACGTCCTTACATGGCTCGCAACTTAGCGCAAATTATTTTAAAATTTTCCTACATTATGTCAAAAACTATTGACGTTCCGTACATCCCCCCAATATTGAAGAAACAATGATTTTCTCACGTTCCCCATGCATTTCTGATCGGAGTTGGAACCCTCGGGCGTTTGCCGCTAGTCCCGAGAGATGGCGTTCTCGATTGCGCTACTCTGCTCCGAAGGAGCTATATAGTGCTCTAGCTGCACCTTCAGACGCTGCTCCCGGCGCCATCTATCAATACGAACGCCAAACATACCCCGCAACTGGACTTAGTCGTCTGGGTCGCCGCCCGCCTTAGACCTTGGCAAGTTTCTTGGCCCTATTTTTTTACTAAAAGAGAACTGCGCTTTGTAAATTTACAAGAAAAAACCGACCTGTGAAATACACCTTTGACGAAAAGTTTAGATTGCTACGTGCAGGCGTCGATTTTTACGGTCCATTTGAGTTTGAGCCTGGCGACTGGGACTGCCCGATATATATATGTGCCTTTCCGTGAATAAATTCCAGTTGCAAGGAGCACTCCATGTTTTTCATTTCTTTCACTTGTTCGTTGTTTTTTTAGCGCTTTTACCCTCAGAACTCTGAATCACCAACTAGCTCAAGTGCATACCCTTCTTCGCTTGAACTTTTTTATTGCGTGACCATAACTTCTTAGGTCAGCCTTGAGCAATGCATAATTCGGCTTTGCAGTGCAGAAAATATGGTGCTCCATAAACTCGCCTTTGTAACAGACTTGTGTATATAAGCTGCGAGTTTAATTAGTTGCTCTTTTGATTGTAGAAGGAACCTGAGTATTTAAGGATATGCAACTTGCATAGATCCACCCTGGACCAACTAATGTGATCTGCTAAAGCACCATGCCTGACGTAATAACTGTAACCACTACACACCTCTGTACTCTGTTCCCCTCCCCGTTTGACTATACCTTATTTCACCATTCGATGAACCGAAGTGAGCCATTGAAGCCTACAAGCCACTTAAGTCAATCCAATGCTGTGCCATGTGACCCAAAGGTCACGTGGCACACGAGACCTTCATGAAAGGCACGACGACGCGCGGGGCACGCAGTCACGTGATATGTTTGCAGTGCTGTGTTGGTTGGGATTGCTTGTATCATCTGCTGCGGTTTATCGTAAGGTGAAATGGGAGCATAGAAGCCAAATCCACAAGTTGTCCAGTTGTCCACCCAAATCCTGTACCCCAAGGTGTTTCACATGGTTTCGGTCTACTTGAGGCGGATGTTTGCCAGAGAGGTCCTATGCTACGTCAAGAGACATGAGATGGAAGCTGATGGATTGTAACCTTGGCCTCCATTTGGAAGCATGAGTGAACATATTGTATGTGTGGGTCTCAAGCGGACAATTGGTTGATATATGTAGTGTATAATTTTACAACTAAATAAACAGCATAGTTATTCTGCGGTTGGATACCCTTGTCCCTACAGGGCCAGATGGAGTTGGTCGAGACCTTGAAGATCTTCAAGCAGAAATCGCACGTGATGGCCTTCTTCAAGGACACAGTGGAACCGAAACCGGCAGACTTCATGTCCAAGTTTTTGTCTGGCCAGTGAAGAGTCTAGGAGCACCAAGCGTCGCACTGCCATCTCTTTTCTGGCCATGCCCGTGTTTGGTTGTACATATGGCAACATAGGAAATAAAGAAAGGGAGGTTAGAGCTGATCGTTTGTACTCATTTCTTTGAGCAACTTATGAATAGATTGATTGTGAACCAGCCTATTGACACTCGTTCTGGTTTCCTGTTTATTTAGCGGGGCTTCCCAGGTATCTTTGGAATACCAAGGAAATTCTTGCACCTGAAATTGTCAGTGTCTTGGAAACCCTCGAATATTTTTTATCTGAGAAGTGCCCCGATGAGGAATTTCGTTGCACGAGAAACAGTAGAAAAACGAAGCTTCATTCGGTGCTTCTGCAAGCATCTGTTGAAGGGGCGACGGCATTGAGTGAGGTCGCCTCGATTGACTCTTTTCTAAAGTACATCAGGCAACATTGGCAACCCCCATTGCTTGGCCAATAAGGGACACTTTAAAAGAGGGGGAGGGAGTGTTAGAACAAAATTGATACAAATTAAAAAAAAAAGAAGGGACGACGAAATGTTCGGCTAGGTGGCGCAAGCTGCCGCCCGTCACAAAGGTTATAGCCATTATCCATCCATCCATTGATGGACTTTTAAAAATGGTCAATTGTGTCGCCATCAAGCCCGAGGAAAACTGCTAGCGGCTGCAGAAGCTGCTTAGAAGTTTGCATTTTTCTTAAAGACGGAGAAAAGACACTTTTTATTTCTCCGGTACTTCAGAAGGATAGGGGCTATTTAGCCCTCGGCATTGTCCGGCTGTAATTCTTATATTGACGGTATTGGTCTCCGGATGCTCGAAAAAGCCTAAGCACGCATGTTACTACAAATCCTCGGCACATTAATACTTAAGACCCATGTTGGTGTAAAAAAAAAAAAAAAAAAACTATTTCTAAACTCTGGTTTAAAAACATGCTTTTCGTGCAAGGCTCGTCAAATTATGAGGCCCTGGAGAAATGCAGCCTTCTGCGTTAAGTCCTTATTTCGAACCCTTTTTGTTCGCCTTCCGCCCATTGAAAAGCATGCGGGAAGGGCCTTAGAACGCACCTGGTATCGCTGCGCCGCAGCGTTCTTCCGCAACATAAAGTTCGTCTGCTTTCCTCGCCGTCACCATGGCAACGAACGCCGAATGAATGGAAGCACGCACGGTACCCAGAGCCGTGTATTGAGAGAGTTTGGTCAATGGGAGGTGCGGGCAGAGTCGAGGCGTGCGGCAGAGTCGGAAAGAGGGCTTGGCATGCTCTCTTGACCAACCAGAAGCCGAAAAGAATCCCCTAGCGGTGGTAGCGGCAAACAGTTCTGATCAAAAGTCTATGTTCGTATATGGTTTTAATAAACGCGTAAGAGTGAAGTGTAGTAACTCTTCGTGGTCGAAAATAGGGTGCACGTGTTGTTTTGATTATGATCATACAGAAAGATGTAAGAAACGAATGCGCCGCGCAACTCTGTTTTGCGCGGACAGAGTGTGACCGTTCGGACGGCAGATTCCCGGCCCTGGGCGCGTGGCGTACGAATCATCTCGATCGTTCCGCTAGTCTCACCCTTCCACCATCATTTTGGATTAACGTGACTGAAACATCACGTGTACCATATTTTGAGCCATTGAGAGTTACTCCAATGCAGTTATCAGGTTTGTTTCTCGCGACCACCGCCAGGGTATTATTTCCAGCTTCTGGTTGGTCACATTCGAATTTCTGAAGACGCCCTGGAACACGCCCACCCCGCTTTTGGCCAATGGCGCCTCCTCATTCGTCTCCTATACTTCCCAACGAATGGCCAAACTCTCCACATTTACGGCTCTGACGGTACCGCTAGTACCGCCGCGTGAAGCCAGCAGCAGCTGACGCCATTTTACGAACGCCGTCTGCTAGCCGAAGCCGAACGCGGTTTGTCAGATCAACCGCCTTCGCCGGTGCGCCGCTGGCAAAGACGACGAAGCTGAGGCACGCCGACGGCGATTGAACAAGCAACAGCACCGCGGGACGACTGCAACGGTGGCATTTAGTGGGTTGATATCAAAGGCGCGAAATAGGCAAGGAGAATTTTTATTTGAATCATAACACGCGATGCCACGGTCGGCATCGTTACAAAGACAACAGTCGGACCCGACAAAATAATGAAAAGTGAATAAAAATTAAAAAAAAAAAAAGACGGGAGCCGTTCTCGGGCGGCGTGTTCTTTGATGAGTTAATTCCAGATTTGCCTGAAAATTTGCTAAACACACCAACAAACATCGCTGAAATAATAACCCAAATATTGGGCCAAAATCAATATTTTTCGCGAAGGTATCGAATTTACAATTTTTGTCCTCACTGTGTTGTTTTCAAGGTGAAAATCTCTACTGACAAACAATGCAAGCGAAGACACGGTTCACACTTTGGACTGCACACTTTGTTCCCAGCTGATTACGAGCAGTTTCACGGTTTCAAATGATTGCTTTGGAAGCTCGCTCCAGCAGCAGCACGAAGCAAACGCTCGGCATGGTCCATTTTTAGACTACCCGCTCAACCTGCAAGTCCGCCTTCCCCTGACTTCGCGGCACTGAAAAGCGTGGGTTTATTTAAGTGTAGGTTTTGGCATCATTTTTACTTGCCGATTTTATAACACCTAATCTGAAATTCGCGATACGAAATAGCATGCCGGAAATGGTAAAGGCCAGTGATTCCGAAAATATAGTTAGTTGGGGTCGCTCAAATCATTCCCGGAGTACCCCTTTTAGCTGAAACGGAATATAGGCGTCAAGTCACTAATTATTGCACTCATTCCACTTGCCTTCAAATTTTTTGTCTGTCTTTTCCCTACGCAAAAAAAAAAAAAAAAAAAAAAAATCACTTTAGAAAAAACCGTAACGCCCACGCCCTTCCAATGTCCAAAAAACGCTGTCGCAAAAAGAAAAAAAAAAACAAAAAAACAACGCTGTTGCTGTTAATTTATAAATAAAAAAATTACCTGCATTACTTTTTATTGGTAATGGTAGCGCGTTCCTTCTATTTTAAGTATAAGTAGTTCGGTAACACGTTCTTTTATTTTGCAAGTAACAAGTAACGTGTTTGGTTACTTTTTTTTTTTTTTTTTTTTTAGTAACGCCTACAACACTGCTCGAGACTAGGGGGTCATATTGTTCTTGAATAATAATCAAAATGTATTTTTTTTAAACAGAAATTATTTACTTTTGTTTCCATTCTTTTTTTACGTGGACCTGCGGCGCTTGTAGCGACAAATTTTACTAGGGCGGAAATCGCCGAAGTTTCCTGCAACAGCAATTTATCTAAGGATGTTGCTCGCGCTCTATCCGTTGAGTGCGCTTCTCCGCTGGCGCCAGCGCACTGCGGAGAAGCGACCGCCGCGCACAGGTCGTCGCGAGTTTGCGTCCCTTGTTTTTTCAGCTGTGCAGCCGCGTGCAAAAGAGAGAAGCGCTTTTCCGAGGGGAGAATAAACATGCATGCGACGGGCATCTGAAAGAGGGGAAAAAGCATTGTTCCAGGAGGGGTGGTTGAGTATAGCGACGTAGCCTCTAAACAACCTTGATTAGAGAGTTTTAGGAAAGCGTTTTTGCACGAACGATACGATACGATCGGCTCTCCGGTATGGACCGCGCATGCGCGGGGTCCCTACTGCCTTACCGTCGTCCAGTGTCCGTACCGCAAGATGTGATCGTGTGGGCTAAGCGGCTCACGGCAGAAGCGTCTCGACTCGAAGCGTCCCAAATTGCGGCCAGGCTCTTTAAATCGACCGCAAAAAATCAGTTTCTTAACCTATCGCGTCCCACAGCGTTGGCCGCAGGTGGTGCAGTTTTTTTCTATAAAATTCGGAAAAAGCGAGCTTACCCGAGGAAAAAGTAAAAAAAAAAGAAAAGGCTTAACTCCCATGGAAACGCAGCGAACCCACCGGTCTTCAAATTATAGAGCAGCCTTAGGTTTGAAGAAGAAAAAAAAAAAAAAAGGGAATGAAACGTGAACAGTGACACCGACGCTTTCTTAGAATCATATTGTTCGTTTGTCTCCGTTTGCGGGGATGTGGCATAGCTCAGTTGGTTAAAGAGTCGCTGTCCCATTTTGATGAAGGCGCCGACGACATGGGTTCAAACCTATTCCTAAGACCCAGCTGTTGGGGGTTAGGGTGTCTGGGTTTTGCAGCGCGGAGTGAAGATGAGCTACATCGGCTTTGTGGAAGACGAAGTGGCGCAGCCCATCCATTTCGTCCTTCGACGCGAGGTCGAACGTCCCGTCTCGCCGTCAACAATCTTCGTTTTAGGCTAGCCAAGTCAAATAAAAGTACTTTCTCTAAGCTTTCTGCATTGAATGAAGCCAATTCAAACTCATAATCAAAAAAATTCTAGGGCCATGATTGCCGCAAAGATCGTCTGCTCCTTTAGCAGACGAACTGTTCAGTCACAGTGGGGACGCCGCCGCTACATTTAGCGCTCTCATTCTAGCAAAACGAAAGAAAATGCGGTTATCACAATTTTGACTTCAGGCTATTTCTGAAAGGGGAAATGTTTTCCCGGTAGTTCTATGAAATGACCAAACACTATTCTCCCCAAAAAAGCATATTTTCTCTTAACCAACTTTACGAAGCCATTGCGCATTTCCGTTGCCAGGGTGGCGCGGCGACCTGCGCCGATCGCCTGCTAATCGTCTGGAACCGTCTGCAAACGCGGTTCTCGAAGAGCCGTTTCATGGAAAACGATCGTTCCGAGCTCCCGATCCGAGGTACCGATCGTTCGGACTGTCGACCGCGTTTTATTTCCGTTAACTGAGACTCTCCATTATCTGTAGCTGGAGTGAACTATAGGGTGGCGCAAGTCACCAGGCTTGGCCTAAAATGGACCGTAAAAATCGACGCCTACATTTAGCAATCTAAGATTTTCATCAAAGGCGTATTTCACACGTCGGTGTTTTCTTCTAAAATTACAAAGCGTATATTTCTTTCTGTAAAAAATAGGGCCGAGAAACTTGCCTGGGTCAACGGCGGGTGGCGAAGCAGACCAAGGTCGAGGTGCAGGGTGTGTTTGACGCTCGTATTGACAGATGACGCTACCTCCTTGGCTGTGTTCGAAATCTTACCCAAATTCGCGACTCCAGCGAAA